TTTTAAAAAAGGTCAATAAAATTGATAAACCTTTAGCAATACTAACAAAAATAAGAAGACTCAAAGTACCAGTATCAGGAATAGAATAGTGGATATCACTGTAGATTCTCCAGACATTAAAAGGGTAATAATAATAAGCTAATGCTATGAACAACTTTACACTCAAACTTGATAACTTAGAAGAAATGGACCTTGAAAGCCCAAACTACAAAACTCAACCAAGATAAAATAGATGACATGAATAATCCTTTAGCCTTTGAAGAAATTAAATTAATAATTTAAAAGAAAAAGAAATCTCCAGGCCCAGATGGTTTTACTAGAAAATTTAAAGAATTAACAGTAATTTTACAGTTTCTTCCAGAAGACAGACAAGGAGGGAACAGTTGTCAACTGATTTTACAGAGCCAGTATTACTCTGATACCTAAACAAGACGAAGACCATACAAAAAAAAGAAAACCACAAAGCAGTCTCTCTCATGAGCTAGGTAAAAAAAAGTCCTCAACCAAATAGCAAACCCAACAATATAGAGAAAAGAAATATAAATGATGCCCAAATGGGCTTTATTCCAGATCTGCAAACCTGGTTCAGTATTGAAAATCAATCAATTTAATTCATCATATCAACAGACTAAATATGAAATAGAAATATTACTAATCATATTTTATGGTTTTTGATGCAGGAAAAAAAAATCATATGTCCATTCTCAAGTTGGGAATAGAAGTGAACGATGTCATCTTAATAAAGAGCATCTACAACAGACTTAGAGCCAACATTATATTTATAGTGAAAGAGTGAATGTTTTCCCTCTAAGATTGAGAACAAGGCAAGGATGTCCACAGTGTTGACTGTGACACAGCACTGAAAGTTCTAACCAATGCAGTAAGGCAAGAAAGAAAAATAGGCCTACATACTGGAATAGAAAGGGGAGAGAAAGAAATAATAACAATGTTATTCACAGGTAAGAGGACTGTCTAGGTACAAATTTCTAGAACTAATAAAGAGTTTGGTATAAGGTATGAGGATACAAGATCAACACTCAAAATTATCAGTCACAATTAAAAACTACCATTTAGGGGTGCCTAGCTGGCTCAGTCAGAAGAGCATGTGACTCTTCGGGAGTTGTGAGTTTGAGCTGCACATTGAGTGTAGAGATTAGTTAAAAAAAAAAAAACTTTTTTTTTAAAAAACCCTACCACTTATAATCCTTACAAAGAAAATTAAGTACTTAGGCATAAAGTTAACAAAACATGTACAAGGATCTGTGTGCTGAAAATTACAAAATACTAATGAAAGAAATAAAAAAAAAAAAACTAAATGGAAAGCTAGACTGTACTTGTGTATTGAAGGACTCCACATGGTACCAATTCACCTATTTCCAAATTGGCCTGTAGGTTTAAAGCGCTTTCTATCAAAATACCCGCAAAGATTTTTGTAGGCATAAATAAACTTATTCTAAAATTTATATGCAAAGGCATAGGCCCTAGAAGCTAAAACAATTTGGAAAAGATGCATAAAGTGGGGAAATTATTCTACCCAATATTAAGGCCTATTATATAGCAGCAGTAGTCAAGACACTGTGGCATTGGTGGAAGGATAAATGCATAAACAAATAGGATAAAATAAATCTGGAAGTAGACCCACCCAAATATGCCCAACTGCTATTTGACAAAGGTGCAAAAGATGAGAGGAGAGCAGGGGCCCCTGGGTGGCACAGTCGGTTGAGCGGCTGACTCCTGGTTTCACTCAGGTCCTGATCTCAGGGTCGTGAGATTGAGCCCCCAGTCGGGCTCCAGGCTCAGCAAGGAGTCTGCTAAAGTTTCTCTTTCTCTAAAATAAATAAATGTTTAAAAAAAGAGAGAAGAGAGCATTTTCAACAATAATGCTGGAACAATTAGACCAAAAAAAAAAAAAAGACCTTAACCTAAACGTTTTTATACAAAAATTAACTCAAAATGGATCACTGATTGAAATGTAAATCTATAAACCCTTAGGAAAAATCACAGGAGAAAATTTTGGAACTAGGGGTCCATCAGCAAAAAATTCTTCAACGTGACACCAAAAGCATGATCCATAAAAGGAAAAATTGATAAATTGTACCTGTCAAAATTAACAACTTTTGCTCTGGAAGGACCTTATTAAGAGGATGAAAAACAAACTACAGACAGGGAGAAAATATCTTCAGACCACATATCCAACAAAGGACTAGTATCTTGAATATATAAAGAACTCATAAAATTCAATAGTAAAAAAAATTAAGGGGCTCCTGGGGTGGCACAGTCAGTTGGGCGTCAGACTCTTGGTTTCAACTCAAGCAGTGGTCTCAGGGTCATGGAATTGAGCCTCACATCAGGCTCCGTGCTCAGCGCAGGGTCTACTTCAGATTCTCTCTCCCTCTCCTGCCCCTCCACTCGTGCTCTCTCGCTCCCTCTCTCAAGTAAATAAATATTTTTTTAAAAAATCAATTAGAAGGGACAAAAGACATGAGCAGCCATTTGACTAAATAGGATATATGGATGACAAAGAAGCACATGAAAAGATGTTCAGCATTTTTAGCTATTAGGGAGATATAAACTAAAACCACCATGAGATGCCACTATACACCTATCAGAATGGAGGAAGTTAAAAATAGAAGAACAAATGCTGGCAAGGTTGCAGAGAAACTGGATTGCTCATACATTGCTGGTAGGAATATAAACTAGCACAAACACTCTGAGGAACAGGTTAAGAGTTTCTTATTAAACTGAACATGCAACCACTATGATGCAGTAATTGTACTTTGGGGCATTTAGCCCAGAGAGGAAAACTTATGTTCACACAAAAACCTTCGAATGAACATTTATAGCTGCTTTATTCATAATAGCAAAAAACTGGAAACACACCACATATCCTCAAATGGATAAATGGTTAAACAGGTACATCCATACCATGAAATATACTACTCAGCAAAAAAAAAAAAGGGGGGGTGAGAGTAGGGGGAATGAACTATTGATGCGAGCAACAACTTGGATCAATATCCAGAGAATTATGTTGAATCAGAAAAGTCAGTCTCAGAAAGTTGCATACTGTATAATTCCATTTATATTATATAACATTCTTGAAATACAATGTTAAAGAAATGGAGAACAGATTAGTGTGTTTGCTAGGGGGTCAGAGACTGGGGAGAGGGACCAAGGAAGGAGGGTGTGACTATAGAAGGGCACCAGGGATCTGTACGGTATCAATGTCAGAAGCCTGGCTATGATATTTTAACTTTACAGAATGTTACCATTGGAAGAAACAAATTAAAGGGCACACATTCTCTGTGTTTTACAATTGTGTGTGAAGCTACAATTACTTCAAAATTAAAAGTTTAGCTCTTTTCCTTTGGGGTGCCACCGAAGATCCTGATGTCACCGTGGGCCACCATGCGACCCAATGTTACTCGTATTGTAAGAGCATGCCGTATCCAAAGTCTCACTTCTGCAGAGAAGTCCCTGCATCTTTGACCGGAGGCAGAAGAAGGCAAAAATGGATGAGTACCTAGTATGTGGCCACATAGCATCAGATGAATATGTGCAGCTCTCCTCTGAAGCCCTGGAGGCTACCCATATTTGTGCCAACAAGTACATGGTGAAAAGCTGTAGCAAAGATGGTTTCACATCCAGGTGTGGCTCTATCCCTTCCACGTCATCCGTGTCAATAAGACTGTCAACTGTATCAACTGTCCTGTGCTGGGGTTGACGGGCTCCAGACAGATAGGCAGAGCTCCTTTGGAAAGGCCCAGGGCACAGTGGCCAGGGTCCACATTGGCCAAATCATCATGTCCATCCTTACCAAATTGAAGAGCAAAGAGCGTGTGATTAAGGCCATACAAAGGGCCAAGTTCAAGTTCCCTGGCCATCGGAAGATCCACATTTCCAAGAAGTAGGGCTTTACTAAGTTTAATGCGGACGAATTTGAAGACATGCTGGCTGAAAAGCAGCTCATCCCAGACTGCTGTGGGTCAGATACATCCCTGATAGTGGCCCCTTGGACAAATGGCAGGCTCTGCACTCAGGAGAACCGGCACTGCCCCCTCCTTATTCATGCCCACCAACAAATCCTACTTCCTGTGTTAAAAAAAAAAAAAAAAAAGTTTAAAAAAAGGCCTTATGATACCTGCACTTCCTGTACCAGTCATCGTAAGTGTGAAGGGAGGTACAACCTGGGCCAGGCTGTGAGTGTCGTGGGTGCACATGGTAACAGTGAGCCCTAACTAGCCTTATGTTTATTTTGACTTATGTATTCAGTATTTCTACTCCACCTTATTCAAAAAGTATTTACAGTCATTTTTATGTATTTTTATCTTTAATAATAAGGTTCATATACCTATTTACCAAATATCTTGTGAGGGTTTTCTTAGTGTTGATCACACCATCCATGCTAGGAATGAAAAAGGAAAAGTAAGAAGCATGACAGACTGAGCCCAGCCCCAGCACCTCCGGTTCCTGTGCACATAGTATTGGTCATGCACTGGGTCTGGAGCTGGAGCTACTAATTCTGTTCAGGCTTCAAGAGACTTGTAGAGTTTCTGTGCTGTGCTTGGTTAGCTGATGGGTGAACTTGGTTTTCAGTGAGACACTTTTTTTTCACATTTTGCTATCCATTTGGAATGCATCTTACAATCAATGTTGATTCTTAGTTTAACTGGCAGTGTTTTTCTTTTTAAGAAAAAGTTCTTTTTCTTTCTAATACATAAAATAATGGTGCTGCTTACACTTAGTGGCTCCTTAGGCTCAGTGAGATCTAGTAATCCTGTCTAAAAACAGACTTTTCAGTTTTCATCTGGATATTTTACTGGTCCTAATTTTAATAATTTTATTAAACAGTTTAGGGGAGAGGCTTTTTTTTCTTTAGAGGAACTCCTAACAATTTGAGGGTTTCATGGTAAATTCTGTGATATTCCATGGTAATGTAGTACTTACATATACACAAATATTGAAACCTCATTTCCCCTCTTTTTTCTCCTTTGTTTTTCAAGTGTCAATATACAGCATCTGGTTTTACGACAAGAATGACTGTCACCGCATAGCCAAACTCATGGCCGAGTAAGTATTTATATCATGACATAGATTCAATTAGTGATACATGAGAGATGAAAAAATGACTTTCCCTCTTACTTCTCTGTTACTGAGTCTGCTAACTCATTTATTTCTCCCCTGATTTCCTGCTTATTGTCAAAAATTTGTAAGAGGCAGAAAAGGTAGAATCGCCTGTAATCCTACTATTCCCATTGTTAGTGTTTTAGTCTCTTTCCTTCTAGTCTTTTTCTTTATTTGTACATTAGGTTGGGGCTGTCAACTGCCTAACTCCAGAGGATACCATCGACACCCAGGGCATAGCCTTCCCACCACCTGCAGGGGCTTTACTAAGGGGCTTTTACTTCAGGCTTCCTACAGGTTTCTGCTCTGACGAGTGATGCCGCGTTCAGTAGCTGATAGAGAACTCCTGCACATGCTTCCCTGAAGTGAACTTCGTTTTGACACCGATTCTAGGTTTAATAGTCCTCAGTTCACCACTGGGTTGTGTTCCAGTAAATGTTTTGTATGTCAGAATCTTAGAATTGGGAGAGTAATTTTATTGAATTAATGTTCTGAAGGGGGGTTCACTGTGCTTTCTTAGGTTAGCCTGCGGGAGCCACCTGGCTTACCTGTGCTGCTGGTCCAGATTCTAGGAGCCCAGGACACTGTGGTGCTGAGGGGGCCTGCAGTGCCACACAGCTCTGGGCAGAGCATTACAGCGGGCAGTGTGTTCTGGCTCGCCTGTGTTTCCCTTGCACAGTTTTTGCCTGAATCTCCTCAGAGATGTGGAGCCCCCTCTGTCAAATCAAAATTCCCTTTGCTCTCCTGCAAGGTTCTTGTCTGCATCTTTGGAAGAAAACAGTCTTCATTTTTTAAGAAACAGGCCAATTTTACACTAATTTCTGTAAATGTGTAGTAAATAATTAACCCCCAAACCTCAGTTCCAAGTATATTTGCATTTTAAAAGAAGCACACATGGCTAAGGCAACGTTTTAATCCAGGACCGCTCACATGTCCTGATGCGATGTTTGTCAGCCTCCTGCTTTATTTGCTTTGGCTGTGAGCTCACAGGGGAGGCCATGTTTATTACTGTGGGCACACACCCCTGCAGACAGTGTTCCAAATGAACTTGGATCACTCAGGCTTGAAGAACCACACTTTTCTTTTTATAACACCTTTTCTCTGGAAATTATTTAATTAAAACCACTTTTTTATAAAGCCATTTGCTTATGTGATGACTACTTTTTTGTAGTTTTGAAAGTTACAGCAAAGGCACTTTCCTAATTACTTAGAAGACACAGATTTGCTGATTCTTGGTTATCCTGAAATCCAGAATATTTTCCTTAAATATCCAAACTTTGGGATATATAGACTTTCTCCTGCAGATTGCGAGCTTTTGGGCCCCAAGTGAGAAATCTGTCTCTTTTAGCTTTAATAGCTACTTACAGGAAACCATTTTGAGCTTTTTTCTAAACTATCAGGGCCAGCAGTACCGACCTCATATAAGACTTCAGATGGTAAATGAGGCAGAAGACTGAAGGCCTATCTGAAGATATTGTATGGGACCCAAAAATAGGGTGAGGAAGTAGAAACAGAAAGCAGAAGGGAAGAGAAGAGCTTTCAGGTTCTTTCATGAGAAATGCCCAAAAGAAGCACATTTGCTTACACTTTCAGCTGGTTTTACTAGAAGCAGAGGAGGTACTGAAAGTGATTAGAGAGTGCCCTCATGAAACTGTTGATAATGAGTTTTAAGTGTCTGGACTATTTATGGCCGAAGAGAATACCTTATATGTTAACATTAACTTTGTGATAAATGGTGTTCTGGTCACCAAAGATAAAAAAAGACTACTTTATCTTTCCTTGCTCTGACTTTGTCTGTGTACAGCTTCTATTTGCCACATATTTCAGAATATCATCTCTGCTAACCAGAAATCCAGGTAAAATTCTTTCTGGCATATTGTGTGTCTCAATAACTGTGCCTGTCAGTGCCCATCCTGTTAAATCACTGTTTCAACAGCTGCAATATAATAAAAATTCTCCAAGTAAAGAAATTGATTTATTCCAAAAGATGTTTATAAAAACTGAGAAGCTGTGTGGGAGAGCAAGCAGATTTCTAGACCTGTACATACCCGAATTTGGAAATCCTCTTTGGCCAGTGGCAAAGTTGAAAATCCACTAAACTTGGGAAATGCTGACTCTCCTAAAGAGAAAATCCACGCTGCCGGAAACTTTTCTTAACAATAAACACTTGTTTAAATGGTTGCCTATATAGACTAGGAAATTTGGAGAACTCATGGAAGTGAGCTTTATTCCTGATTTTACAGATAGGCTTGGGGCATATTTGAGAGGAGGGTGAGAGGCAAGGGCATTCGTCACAGAGTTTGGATTGGAAGAGGACTTACAGAGTCCAAGCATCATTCCTGTCCCTTCCATGCCACCTGGACAGCTTCTGCTTGCAGCAGTGGTGAGCTTTGTAAGGTGGCCTGTTCCACTAGTGAGCAGTGGTGACTACTAGAAATGTGCTTCTCTTTGGGCGCGCCTGGCTGGCTCAGTCAGTAAAGCATGTGGCTCTCGATCTCAGGGTCAGGAGTTCAGGCCCCATTCGGGCATAAAGCTTACTTTAAAAAAAAAAAAAGAACAAAAGAAAGAAAAATGTTCTTCTTTTAAATCAAAATTACAGATCCAGTCTGGGTCAGGGGAGAGCGGAATACCAGCCTGGGCAAGCCAGGCAGCATGGCAGGAGGTAGGAGAAATAGGCTGCATGACCAGAGTCCTCAGTAAAGGTGGATTCAGGCTGGTGCAGCCTATAACTTTAGTGTAAATACAAGTCACTTGAAAGAGCATTCTTTTTTTCTCATTATTAAAGGAGCACCTGTTAATTATGGAAAATGAAGGAAAGTGAAATCGCTTGTGACCCACTGTCAAGAAATAACCAGTATGTCTCTCCAGTCTTTTTCCTTTGCAACAGGCCTCACAGCTGTGACAGTACAATCTTTCTTTCCCAGTATGGATATAAGAGAAGCAATATTGATTCTAATTGGTCTCATCCTCATATCACACATCAGTCTTCTTTCACTCTCCTGTAAAGTCCATGATTGTACATTCATTTTAGAAATAATCATCCTAGGGGCGCCCGGGTGGCTCAGTCGGTTAAGCGTCCGACTCTTGGTTTCAGCTCAGGTCATGATCTCAGGCTCCTGGGATCAAGCCCTATGTTGGGCTCCACGCTCAGCAGGGAGTCTGCCTGAGATTCTCTCTCTCCCTCTGCCCCTCCCCCTGCTCACTTTCTCTCTAGAATAAATAAATCTTAAAAAAAAAAACTAGATGCAGTTAAGCATCTGCCTTCAGCTCACATCATGATCCCAGGGTCATAGGATTGAACCCCGTATCAGGCTTCTGCTCAGCAGGGAGCCTGCTTCTCCCCCTCCTTCTGTAGCTCCCCCTGCTTGTGCTCTCTTGTTCTCTCTGTCAAATAAATAAAATCTTAAAAAAAAAACAAAAAAACAAACTCGAGGCACCCGGGTGGCTCAGTCGTTAAGCGTCTGCCTTCGGCTCAGGTCATGATCCCAGGGTTCTGGGATCGAGCCCTACGTCGGGCTCCCTGCTCGGCGGGAAGCCTGCTTCTCCCTCTCCCATTCCCCCTGCTTGTGTTCCCTCTTTCACTGTGTCTCTCTCTGTCAAATAAATAAAATCTTTAAAAAAAAAAACAACTCATCAATCAATTATCCTATTCAAAGCTGTAAGAATCTAGATAGAGAAATGACAATATTATCTTAAAGCAGGATTTTCCAAACAAATCCCGCCTCAGGAGAAGATTCTATATGGTCAAATAAATTTGGGAAAATTTATAAGCCCACCCTTCTTGGAGAATCAAATACATTTTAGCATGTTAAAAACTCAGAATGATTCTGCTATTTAAAATTTAAAAAAGGTCTGTTTAATATTGTTTAACCCAATGTTTTCAAATACAAGAACCATCCACACACGTTAATGGGAGCTCCTAGTCTGTCTGAAAGCAGTGAACAAGACACTGAGCAGCCTATTCTTGTCCTACTCCTTTTATTCAAAAAAAAAAAACTTTTGCTACTGAATTATTTTATTGCCTATTCTTTTCACTGTCCAGAAAGTTCTTAGTTCATACAATTATCAAGCTGGGTCTGTGCCCCTAATAACCTGTGGTAGATAAGCCTATTCATTACAGTTGGGATTAAAATCTGTATGAATCTTAAAAAGAAAAAAGACCTCAACCCTATCAGTGGAATTCTTAACCCTCAACATTTCTTGCTTCATGTCTTTTCAAGTGCAGAATTAGCCTAAGCACCAATCAGAATAAAGAGCCTTGCCACAGGGGCGCCTGGGTGGTTCAGTCGTTAAGCGTCTGCCTTCAGCTCAGGTCATGATCCCAGGGTCCTGGGTTCGAGCCCCACATCGGACCCCCTGCTCCACGGGAAGCCTGCTTCTCCCTCCCCCACTCCCCCTGCTGGTGTTCCCTCTCTCGCTATGTCTCCCTGTCAAATAAATAAAATCTTTAAAAAAGAGCCTTGCCACAATGACCCCCACCTCAGCCACCCACTCAGTGATTTCTAAGGAGAGAATAAGGGAAACCTTGGAAGATTCCCTGAGACCTCTCTTCTCAAGAAGGTTCTCTCCCCCCCGCACTAGTCTGGTGTTGGTACAAGCTGCACAGTGGGTTGCTCAGCTATGCAGCCTGCCTTTGTCTTGCTGGCCACGTCCATTTGAAAATGTACTTTACCTGGTAGTTTGACTGAGTCTGAGATACTTCAAAAAAGAGAAAGAAATAATTTAGTCATTTTAACTTATCTGCTCCCACCAACTCTAGAAAAAGAATTCCGTACTTCTGTCCTAACAGTGAGACACCATCAGTCGGCATCGCTGTGCATGAGCTGCTGAAGCGGTTAGTCATGTATTCCCGGGATGAGGTAACCGAGGCCCCGTGTTTATATTGGGAGGCCAGTGTACCCTATGACATTCTTCCCGTATCTGCAGAAGACGAGCACCAGGAGGGTTCATGCATCAGGTTATGTCTAAAGAAGTCTTTCTGAAACCTGGTTCTCTTCCACTAGTGTTGTAGAAGAGGAGACACGGCGGTCCCAGCAAGCGGCTCGGGACAAGCAGAGTCCCAGCCAGGCCAACGGCTGCAGTGACCACAGGCCCATTGACATCCTGGAGATGCTAAGCAGAGCCAAGGATGAATATGAGAGGGTGAGATGCTGACTGGGAGGACGGAGAGGGGAGGAGGAGGCCTGCAGGGGGCTCATGTGCTGGGGAAGTTACCTCAAGGCCAGTAGAGATAATTAGTCCAAAAAGAAAGTATGTCTTACTGTTTTTAGCCTAAAAGACAGGGAAAGAAATTTGTTTATCTCAGAGTCCTTGACTTGGCATGAAAATTTAGAATGCTCTTTTTCTGTTCTTGTAAAATGACTATAGGAGAAAATGGTTTCAGGGTACAGAAGGTAGCCTGCAGCAGGTAGTTCCAAAAAAGCTTCTTGCCTGTTGTTCACCCCTGCAGTCTCTGCTAGGGCTTAGGAATTTATGTAGTCCGATCATTTGTACCTGCTAATACTAAAGGGTATATTTATGGTCTGTAATTGATGGTAGGTTCACAGCCTTTAATTTGGATTTTACCCACATGTGAAGTTTTTCTAGAATTCTTTTCTTTTTCTTTTTTGTGTGTTAGTTTAAAAGTCAAATGATAATATTTTCTCCCCAAGGTTGAATAAAATGGAAGTTGTAGGGCATTTGTTAATTTATTTAATACACACTTATGAACTGTCCACTGTGTGTCAAGCAGTGGACATTTCCTTGGTGATCATCAAACCGTGTGGCTTTGAAACTGTCCTGGCTTTTCACCTGACATGGGCACTTCAGAGCCCTACACTTCTAGGAGCAAGACCAAAGGTTCCCACTGCTGCACTTTGTTTTAGTGGAATTGTAATTGTCACCTTACTCTTTACTCATATTTGATTAAGTACTTTCTTTCATTTTCTGTGTAATCCTCACCTCACCAAAAATTTAAAGACCAAGGTATGAAAAGCACTCTCTGATGTGTTTCCCAAACAGTTCTACTCTGTCACTAGCCTCTGCATGGTTAGCAAGTGATCCTTAAGGAAAAGTTCCAGTTGGTCAAGTGAGTTAAGGAAACATTGTTTATGGGGCTCCTCCTCCCCCATCCTCCTAGGGCTTTGCAATGCTCAAGACTCTGAGAGGCCCTATAATAAATTCCCAAGTTGATTTAACCACAGGACCATTTTTCACATATTCCCCTTTAGCATCTCAAGAATCTAGAGTTTAGGAAACAAACTTTGTAAACAGTGCTCTGGAAGGTACTTTCCTCTAACAAAGGAAGTCATATTTAGACACCAAGGAAGTCCCACCCAGGGTAGAGAGGTATGCATTAGAGTCCAGGAGAAGTTTCAAATTATACCAAATTCCTCAGTGTCTCATAGAGAATTAGGAGGAATTTCTGGATCTGTGAAAATTAATATAGGAAAAGCAGTCATCTCTATAGTAGATTCATTGATTTTTAGGAAACTGGATGAGAATAAATTTTAAGAATCATTTATTTTAAGAATCATTTTTTGTACTTTTAGATACTCCCCCTGACCCCCTCATATCTTAATGAGATCTGGATTATCTACATAGGTGCCTTGTTCAGTTTTTATAGAGGCCTTTCTGTGTTCTGATAACAGGTAACTAATAAACCCAGGGCTCTGCCACATATGTCTAACGATGACTAGATCATGGTGGTGCCACACGGGACAGAAAGTGTAGGGGCAGTACACCAGAGCTGGCGCTCTAGGAGGTGGCCCGCTTACTCCTCAGGCTAAGTAGTGAGTGGCTGCAAAATGAAAGCAGGAACTGAAGCTTAGTTTTTGTACACAAAGCTATAAAGGAGCTTTAGGTCAAGCAGCAATCTGAAAATCTGACCTGATTTCTAGTTAATGCATTGTGAAAGTAAGAATATGGAGAGCACAGTAAATAACTGTTGTAAAGAAAATGTTCCCAGTGGTGTGGAATAAATAAAATGATATCTAGAACTAAAACATTTGGGAACTTAGTAAAATCTTTGGTACTTACTTTATAATGTGTTCTTTCTGTTTTTGAAAACTATCTGTAAACAGGCGGAGCTTCCTGAAAGAACAATTTTGTTTCTTGTCTGCACTTGCCTGTCATCTAACCAAATGGAGTTGGTATTAGCAGTGACCCATGAATTCATATCTCAGTGTTTGCGTGGGTGCTCTCAGCTGCCGCATGGTTCCAGTTGGCTCCTTTGTTTATCTTTAGGTAGATACTTAGATTGACAGAGTCAAGGGCAGGGGTACAAACCACACCTCAGCAATGGGATGTACTCCCAACCCTAAATCTCCCCCGTCCACTGTGTGTCATATAATGAATGAAATTCCAGACGTTGGGATGCAGGATTTATAATGGAGACTGCTTGGAAATAAGAACTGCCTATATAAACATTTTCTCCCTGAGTCCTATAGTTTGTTTTAACCAGCGTACCTTTTTTAATGTAAAGAAAGATAGCTAAACCCACAGTCCTTTACAGTTGCTCCTTGCTGAGTTACTTCTAGTCACAGGATATAATCCTGGATTTTTGTAGGGGTTGTTTGTATTTTATATTTAAAGATTAGAGTAGAAGAAAAAGACATAATCCCACCACCTAGAAATGATCACTGTTAATACTTCATTATGTATCCTTCCAAAAATATGTATAAATATGTCCTAGTGTGTGTGGTACATTTCTCTACACTAGTTTTATTAACTAGTTTTAAAAGTCGCTTTTATTAACTCTTTTATAACCAGTTTTTTCCAAAGAGCAATATCTTTATGACAGTGGGCTGTTCATCTCATAGGGAGTCCCTGTGAGATTTCTTTTGGTAGAATGAAAAGTCTTTGAAAAAGAGAACAGTGATATTAATAGCTGCATATTTTTCCTTCCATGCCTTACATAAACAATTCTCTTAATTCAGAAATATATCCTGTAGCTAAGTTTTCACATTCAGTATTTTCTCTTAAGATAAATTACTTGAAATAGAATTGGTAGATCAAAGGATTTTGATATTTCTAAGGATTTTACCAAATATTGTAAAATTACCCTTAGGAAAGTTTGTGATTGTTCACTTCCCCCAGTCCATACAAATAAATACTAGAGTGTCATCAACAAACAAACTCAGACGAAACCTTCCAAGAACAGACATACACATGTATAAAAAAATGTCTGAAGTTCTAGAGACCTTTTAAAGCATAACCCATCTTGCAGCTCACGTTGAGTTAAGTATAGGAGACTCAACTACCCCCAAAACCACATGGGCCACGGGAGTGCATGCAGTGGGTCAGGGTGGACCTGATGAGGACAGAGCCTGGCCCTGCATCAGAGGGTCACTTGCAGCTCAGCTCCAGTCGTTGTTGCCAAGGTATCCAGCTTCTCTCTGAAAATAACAAGCTGGGATTTTTATGTGCAAACTCTCAATTTTTAAAATGTTTCTGAACATTTTATACCTTCTGTTCTAGGAACTTGTGAACAGTGTTTTGAGCTTTTCTCTAATACAGTTTAATTCCAGGCACTCTCCATAATGTGTTAATATAGGTTGATGGTGGTATTGCATAAAGAGGTGGAAAGTAAGATACTTCATAAGCAGGTAAAATAGTTGAAGGGGGTTAAGAGGTACAGACTGCCAGTTAGAAAGCGAGTGAGTCACAGGGATGAACAGTACCGCACAGGGAATATAATCATTAATGTTCTAGTGACTGTCTGCTGGCCACACTTACCCTCGTAGGCACCATGTGATGTGGAGAATTGTCTAATGCTTCAGGAGTTTTCAGATGTTTTCAAAAAGGTATTTCATAGACTTCCCCAGGCTCTTTCACCTCTATGTAAATGGGTAACACTGAGTAAAAGGTGTTTTGAAATAAGGATTAAGTCATTTGCATAGAAAAAATGCCTCTTTGCCATTCTTTTAACATTGGAGTGCCTAACACTGTGCTAAAAAAAAAAAAAAAAAAAAACCCTAAAAAAAGATCACTAGATGGACATGGAATTATAAATTTTAGAAATCTAAAGTTATATTTGGGCTATCTGATCCAGCATCTAGTGAGCATTATCCATGTCAAAACAGACACCACAAACAGTTCAGAACACTCAGGAGACCAGATTTAAAAAAAAAAAAAGCCCCAACTTCAGGGACGTGTTAATTTTGATAGCATAGTACATACGATGTTTTGCTAACCAAATAATAGTCAGCAAACTTTTCACATGATGTACTTTTCCTTTTAATTTCAGAATCAGATGGGCGACTCCAATATCTCCAGCCCTGGGTTACAGCCAAGTACTCAGCTCTCCAATCTGGGAAGCACCGAGACTCTAGAAGAGATGCCATCGGGGTCACAAGATAAGGTCTGTACAGCTAAAGCTCTAGCTTTGTCCAGGGTAACAAAACACAGAGTAGTATTTTGTAAAGATATTAATGCAGTACAGATATGATGTTATTTATCTGTCAGGGTGCATACAGGCAGCAACATGCTAACATCCACTCTTGTCATTTGCCCTGTCTTTCCATGTAGATTTTGCAGGAGCCTCCACTTTGGTTTTAGAGCTTTTGCCCTTGCCACCCCCTTACCTCTTCACCCAGCAGCCAGAGTAATCCTGATTCAACATAAGTTAGATCATGGCGTTCCTCTGCTTAAAATGTTCCAGTGGTGCCCCCTCTCACTCGAATTAAAGCCAAGGAGGTCATGCCAGTGGCCCACCAGGCCTGACCTGCTCTGGCTCGCTGCCCCCTGCCTCATCTTTTCTCTCCTTGCCTTGCTCACTTGGCCCCAGCCTCGTTGGCTCTTCTGCCTTTCCACAAATGTGCCAGACTCACCCCTGCCTCAGGACAGGCCTTTGCACTTGCTGTTCCCTTTGTGTGGAATACTTTCCTCCCAGATAGGGTTTTTTCTATTACTTCTTTCAAGTCTCGAGCGTCCTCCATACAGGTGAGGCCTTGTCTGGTCACCCTGTTTTAAGTAACAATCCTTCCTTACCCCTGTCCTGCTCTGTCTTACTTTCTCCCTACGGCTTCACCAGCCAACATGGTTTATGATTTTTTACTAGGCTCACTGTGTCTCCTCCCCGCCTAAGTGTAAGCTCCGTAGGGACAGGCAGTTTTATCTGCCTTGTTCATTGCCATATTCTCAGCACCTAGCATCTGTAAATATTTGTTGACTGAATTAGATTTCTTTGTAGCTGATGGCTTAATAAATGAACAGATACCAAGTATAAAACCCATAGTTTTTTAACTAATCTTTTTACTTTGAGATAATTATAGATAAACATGCAATTACAAAAAAATAATACAGAAAGATCCCACGTACCCTTTGCCCATTTCCCCACTGATGACAACTTGCAAAATAAAGTACAATATCACAACCAGGATATTGACAAAATCTACCCATGTGGTCCACATTTCCTCAGTTGTATTCACATTCATTTTTGTGTGTATGTGCAGGTATGTATCTCTGTGCGATTTTATGTCCTGTATAGCTCTGTATCCACCCCCACGGTCAAGATCACAAAGACTTATATCAACACAAGGGTTCTTCATGTTGCCTTTGTATTGTCACACTGACTCCCCTGTCACACCTTCCTGTCTTTCCCCTCCTCCCATCCCTAACCCTGGCAGCCGCTAATCTGTCCCCCATTCTATAATGTCATTTCAAGAAAGTTACGTAAATGGAATTATATAATATATAACCTTTTGGGAGTGTCTTTCTTCACTCAGCATGATTCCTGGAGATGTCATTGAAATTATTGGGTTTATCAGTAGTGTGTTCTCTTTGTTCTATTTTATTCTGCCGCCCAGTCAAGTAGGAGTACCAAGATTTGTTTAACCATTTCTAACCATTTGCCTGTGGACAGAACACCTGGGTTGTTTTCAGTTTTTAGCTATTACAAGTAAAGCTTCTGTGAACATTTGTGCATAGGTTTTTGTACACAGATTTCCATTTCTCTGGGATAAATGCTAAGTCTTGCAAATGTTGGGTCACTTGGTAATTCCATGTTTTAGTTTATTAAGAAACTGCCATAGAGTTTTCCAAAGAGGCTATACCATTAACATTCCCATCAGCAATGTATCCATAATGTTTTTAAGTATTTAGGTGATAGCCAGATTTTGTATACTGCGTTCCCATGCTTCATTTTTACCATATTTGCATTTAGAGGCCTGAAGGTCAAGCGTATGTTGAGAGTGGTGCTATGTAAAATGTAATTTTTACAAAATAAATGTTGAGGGAGAGAAGGAACAGCATCCCTGTGTTCCTTCTTACCTGGTGTATCAGCCCCAAGTGTTCAGTGGGCCAATCACATCCCCTTTCTGATTCATGAGTCACTTCCCCTTTCCTTTCTGAATCCTGGAGTTAAGGATTCTTGTACTGCCTACCTCCTGGGGTGATTGTGAGAACCAAATGAAGGAACAGACCCAAGACCCAGAGAACCATTTAGAACACAGACCTTGGGATAGAAGAGGTTTCCTATTACAAACCCATATTGCAATCAAAACTAGGCTCAGGGCATCAGTGCCTGCTTTCTGAAAAGACCAACAAGGAAGTCCCCAGCACCATGCCCAGTATTCCGAGTCTGGCCTCCCTCAGCACCGCCGCAGAGCAGCCTCACCTCTCGAGAGCACGATAGGTGGCAGGCCACGCACTGCTTGGGTAAATGGGTACTGGAGTGGGCTGGGCAATGCCTGTTGCCACGGCCAGGGGAAAGGAAGAAAGGCAAGGAGGAAATGATAACTGGGCAGAGATTTCCAGGTAATTGAAAACAGGCAAAATACTCTTATGCTTTGTTTCTTAAGTTCCATGACATCTGGTGTTAGCATCATTTTTATTGTACAGAAAATAGCTCTTCACACGATAACAGATTATATAAGTGTGAGATGAAGGTAGCATCAATATCATTCTTGTATGTGTGTGAAAACAGAGACCCAGGGTAATTCTGTAAAAATCCGAGCATTTTCTTACTGGGGTGTAATTAACACTGTAACTGTCTGTAGCTGTAACTTTTAAACATTGTAACTACCACCCAGATCAAGAGATACAAAATTTCCACCATCTTAAACTCAATAAAAACTGAGTTCATTTGTCACAAATAGGGCAACTGCAACAAAAAGGAAAAGAAATCTTAATCATTAAGTTTAAAGACAATTATTTTTATGTACAGATTCCATCGTATTATACATTAAAGACTTTGTATAATAAGCTTTCAAGCCAAGTTAATAACAGATGGTGGGGGTGGGGGTGGAGAAATTGACCCGGAAGAATGCCTTACGAGCCATAAAACAGTGTCCATTGAAGGATGAAGGGTGTGATGAGCTGTGCATGCTCGGCCTTTCAGCAGAAGTGCCAGTGATGGATCTGTGCACGCACAGTATTGAAGTGGGCACAGGGAGAATTAGACCCTCTAACGGGCAGAGTGCTGATGTTTGTTACTCCTTCATTCGCACATCCTTCTGAAAGTCCATTTTATAGGCCACGGTGACAGAATTTTGTAGAATATTGGGATCTGGATATTGTCAGAAGCCCTGTGATTGACTAAAATTAGCTTAAATCCATAATCAGCCCCTATGCACAGATAGTATACTTGTTTGGCAACACTGCCATCTGGTGCTGAGGAGCGAGTAATGCTGTCAGGTCTTCATAGTATTAAATCCCATTTCAGTGTCATAATTCACTTGCTAAAATTCCCTTGGGACTATTTCCCTAGTATGTGGTTTGTTGTGGGGTTTTTTTGTTTTTGTTCCTGAGGTTAAGAATAATACATAGGGGCGCCTGGGTGGCTCAGTGGTTAAGTGTCTGACTTTGGCTCAGGTCATGATCTCGGGGTCCTGGGGTTGAGCCCCATGTTGGGCTCCCTGTTCAGCAGGGAGTCTTCTCTCTCTCCCTCTGCCCTTCCCCTGCTCATGTTCTCTCTCTGCCTCTCAAATAAATAAATAAATTCTTAAAGAAAAGAAAAGAAGAATACATAGCTCCTGGTGTGCCCGGTACACTGACCAGGTAGGAAATCTGGCATGGACACCATAGATCCAGACCGAAATAGGAAATTCCCTAAGTGGCAAGAGCTGTGGGGTGAAGAAGGAGCAGTGTGAAGCCTGATAGAGTGTACTAGCATTTTGTTGTGCACCATACATACTGTTGCTCCCTGAATTCCATTCCACAAGGGGAATATGGTGAGACTAACACTTGATGTAAGTGGGGCATTGCAAAACATAGAATTCAGACATGAAGGAAGAATAAATTCACCTTTTCTATGGATGAGGGGAGATGAATCTATGAATAAATAAGGCCAACTTTAAACGACTGCTTTCGGCTCAGGTCATGATCCCGGAGTCCTGGGATCGAGTCCCGCATCGGGCTTCCTGCTCAGCGAGGAGCCTGCTTCTCCCTCTGACCCTCTCTCCTCTCATGTACTCTCTCTCTCTCATTCTCGCTCTCTCAAATAAATAAATCTTAAAAATAAGGTCAACTACTAGAGCAGTGTGGCATTTTTTCTTGTGGGTAGAGAGGGGAGAGAGGGTCCTCTCAGATGCAGAGACTAAAGCTTTTATGTGGAGAAGCACACTCTGCTCACTTCCCTCTTGTGACTGATTTAGCCAGTTATACACATTTCCAAAAGTGGGTACATTTTGATCTATAGCTGCCTCTTGATTATTCAAGCCATAGATGTACCTGTTTTCCAGAAGCCATTATCACCATCCAGTTGATTCGGTAACCTAGAATATATTTACTTGACACGTCAGTACAGGGGCATAATGGTTAAGAATGTGGACTTACCATTAGGACTAGGTTGAGTCTGGTTCTGTTATACTTGAGTGTCATCTACAAGATGGCAGTGATAATAATATGGCCCCCACTGATTAATAAAGTAATGCATGTGAGGTGCTTAGCACAGGGCCTCCCATATGGTGAGTGTTCTGTCTCTGGTCACTCTGCTTGCCATCGTAACTTCATTTATCCCTTCTTAGGTGAGATTCCCCTGAAACCCTAATGCCTTACCACGCATCCTATTCCAGAGAAAGTCTGAGAATATTTCTGGCTTGGCAGAAGTTGTAGGGAGGCCCAATGGAGAAATCTGGAAACTTTCTGCTGCTTTCGCAGTCAGGGTTCAGGGCTCTACCATATGGATTCATTTTTTAATGTGAAGTCAATTTTAACCATTAGAAATAGCCTTTTTTTAAGTGTAAAAACATTCCAAGCGTACACGTAGGTAATTTTAATTGTTCAAAAGTCGATTTATGTTCCACTGGGCAGGTAAAAATTGCTACTTGGATCATTGCCATTTTTTGAAGCCTAAGGTATATTTCATATTGAATTTTCTCCATGTCCCATTGTTTACTTTTTTTTTTTTTTTGAGGGAGAGAGAGCACGCATGTGTGCTTAAGCAGAGAATGGGGGGAATTGAAGGGCAGAGGGAGAGGGAGAATCCCAAGCAGGCTCCACACTCAGCACAGAGCCCAGTTCGGGGCTCTGGATCCCACTACCCCAAGTTCACAACCTGAGCCAAAATCAAAAGTCAGGCATTTAACCGACTGAGCCACTCAGGTGCCCCCATCCTTTTCTTAAAACATAAAAATATTTGTATTCTTACCTGGGAAAGACTCAAGTTTCTGCAAGATAGACTCAATATGGTCCATATTTTTCAAAGTATGTCTATCCAAATGTTTTTTGTGTGTATATACATCTATATGAATAGAATGTGGTGGTAAAGATCTACATAATTTATATTAATGAATAACAGCGTAGTTTTCAGACAGTCTTGACCATTTTGTTCTAAACATAATGTGAAAAGAGTTAACCCAACTCAAAAATGGGCAAAGGACTTGAATAGTCATCTTCTCAAATAAGATCTAGAAATGGCAGAATGTGGAGAAACGAGAACCCTCTTGCATCACTGGTGGGAATGTAAAGTGGTGCAGCAGCAGCTTTGGAAAACAGTCTGGCAGTTCCTCAAAAAGTTAAACATGGAATTACCATATGACCCAGCTTCCTGGGTATATACCCAAAAGAATTGAAAACAAGGATGAAGACAAATACTTTTACACTAATATTCACAGCAGCATTATTCACAATAGCCAAAAGGTGGGAACAACCCAAGTGTCAATCCTCAGATGAATGGATAAACAAGATGGGGGGTGTGCACATGATGGAGTACTAGTCAGCGTTTGTAAAAGGAGGGAGACTCTGACACCTGCTATAGCATTGATGAACCTCAAGGACATGATGCTGGGCGAAGGAAGCCAGTCACAAAAGGACAAATATGATATGATTGCACTTGCACATGCACTTGCACTAGGCATGGGGTGCCTAGAATAGGCAGATTCATTGGAACGGAAAGTCGAATGGAGATTACCAAGTTTGTGGGTAAGGGAAAGAACATGGTGGTTACACAGCATTGTGAGTGTCCTGAATGCCGCTGAGTTCTACACTTCCATGTGGTTACAGTGCTAAATTTTGGTACATATGTTTTACCATAACCTTTTTTTTTTTTTTTAAAGATTTTATTTATTTATCTGAGAGAGAGAGAATGAGAGATAGAGAGCACAAGAGGGAAGAGGGTCAGAGGGAGAAGCAGACTCCCTGCTGAGCAGGGAGCCCGATGTGGGACTCGATCTCGGGACTCCAGGATCATGACCTGAGCCGAAGGCAGTTGCTTAACCAACTGAGCCACCCAGGCACCCCACCTCTTTTTTTTTTAAGATGTATTTATGTGAGAGAACATACCCTCAAGTAGGGGGAGGGGCAGAGGGAGAGAGAGAATCTTAAGCAGACTCTCTGCTGAGTGCAGAGCCTGACAGAGAGCTCTGTCTCACAACCCTGAAATCCTAACCCAAGCCAAAATCAAGAGTTGGACTCTTAACTGGCTGAGCCACCTAGGCACCCCTACCATAACTTTTAGAAATCGGAGCGGAGGGTGGGGGAAGGAATTATGTTTGTGCTCATCAGTAGACCTTCATGATGGCCAGAGATCCAGAAGTGAATAAATCATAGTGTTCTACTGGGGAGATGAAACCCATGCATATTACTCTAGTTATGTGGCCTGGACAGAGAAGAAGTTTGTCCCAAATAAGAATTCACTGTCTATTTTGAGTTACACTGAATGGATTTGAAATGTTAAACAACTGTGTCTTCAGTGACTCTTGGCATCAGGGAATGACAGGGTGATCTATAATACCTCAGCCTTGATAGCCCATCAGGTGATACTGTGTTATTATTTTACATTATGGGGCTATGATATTCCAGAAGGATTTGATGAAATTTTTTTTAAAGACTTTATTTATTTGACATAGAGAGCACAAGTGGGGGGAGGGGCAGGCAGGCAGAGGGAGAGGGAGAAGCAGGCTCCCGCTGAGCAAGGAGCCCGATGTGGGACTCGATCCCAGGACCCTGGGATCATGACCTGAGCCAAAGGCAGCCACTTAACTGACTGAGCCACCCAGGTGTCCCGGATTTGATGAATTTTTAATATCCCAACATATTATTTGATGTTTCCTAAAACATATGCAAACAGCTTTATCATGATTGCTGTTAAGACTATATGGTGTTCATATAATGATGATAACAGCCAACTTACACTTATTGAATGCTTATTGGGCACCAGACATCATGTTGAGAATTTCATTTTCACAGCAGCTCTGTGAGGTAATTGCCACAATTGTCCCCATTTTTCAGATAAGGGCACTCAATAGAGAGACTGTCATTTCCCCAATTAACAGCTGGGAATTGAACCTAGGTATCTTTGACTTCAGATCCAAAGCTCTACAACTTTTTCAGAGGTAAAAACATAAGGAAATTAAACCATATACATTCTTTTGCACTTTTTTACCACCAACAGTTTATAATAGAGTTTAGTGCTGCCTTGTATTTGAAGCAAGATCCTGAATCCAAAAAATCCCTTCAGGTGCTAGGAAGTGTTGTGACAAGGTAGTCTTACTAGTCTCACTACAGCATTGTTAATGGGGGGTCTGAATCTGCCATTTAAGAATTCCTTCACTTAAATAAAGCCTCTTGTCACATTAACTTGCCAAGATATATTACATTAATTCTCTGTATTGAATATTTTCTAAGAAGAAATGGTTTGGTATGAAATTACAATTTTTTACGACTGGAGGAGGCTTCTGCCTCTTCCCCACTGTTAACTTTGCCCCACCTAAGTTCTCCTCAGCCCCGCCAGCCCCACTGGCCCCACTTACCCAGCAGGTGATGCGAGAGAGACTACACAGGGGCACTCCCTTACCTTTCCGTCCCTCACAAGTAAGCTCCCCTGCATCCTCAGTCCTGGGTGCTGGCCTTCTTTCTCCACCCCGCCCATCCCAGCACAGTACCTAGGGCACCTGCTAAACCCCATACAGGTGTCCCCACCCCCCCCACCCTTTTCAAAAGTTCGCATGAAGCCCCTTTTGTTTTTAGGGAAGACCTGTATCAGTACCTATCTTGCTGACCGAAAGAAATCCAAAGAGGATTTTTGCTTTTATGAAAAAAGGTAAAAAGCAAAAATAGCATTTGGCGTTTGTGTGGCAGCAGCACCCTGCACAGAGGGAGTGGCCCGCTGAGCCCCTGTTCCGGGAACCGCACTCAACGTCCCTGGGTCTGTGAGCACCTACGCTTTGTCTCTGTTTATTCTGTGCGTCTGTTAGCAAGATGTGTGCTAAGGTATCAGAAAAGCCGAAGAGAGGGGCACCTGGGTGCTCAGCCAGCTGATTGTCCAACTCTTGGTTTCAGCTCGGGTCATGATCTCAGGGTCATGGGATCAAGCCATGTCAGGCTCCATGCTCAGTGAGGAGGAGTCTGTTTGAGATTCTTTCCCTCTCCCTCTGCCCCTCCCCCTGGAAACCTGTAATTCTTGATCACACGAGTGAAACAAAACATTTGCCTGAGAAAAACTGCGCTCTTTTCCCATAGAAATGTCATACTATACTGCTCTCGTGCTTGTGCTTCAGATGCAGTGTAGTTTCAGGCCTTCATAGGCCTTTTGAGGTACTGAAAGCCGTGTGTTTCAGTGAATTGTCTTTTTCCACATAAACATATATCTGAGCAACTAAGTAGTCCACACACTTTAGGAAATAAAACCATATTATCAAGGGGCACCTGGGTGGCTCAGTTGGTTAAACATCTGACTCTTGATCTCAGTGCAGGTCTTGCTCTCAGGGTTGCAAGTTCAAGCCCTGCGTTGGGCTCCACTCCACACTGGGCGTGGAGCTTACTGCAAAACAAAAACAAAACCCATATTTTGAGGTTGCTTGTGTTTTCAAAGTACTTAGGTTAGTCTCCCACTAGAATATAAGTCCTTTTGGGGGTTAGACTATTTTTGTTACTCCTACGGTATCCTTTGGGCCCAGGTCAGAGCAGGCCCTGGCACCCTGTAGGTACTCAGAAAATAAAGGGTAACTGAATATGGCCGTACTGCTTGAAGTAAAGGTACGGGAAAGCTCAGGAGTGAAAAGCATAAATATTTCTCCTTCAGATCATTGCAGTGGTATCAATAAGCCAGATCACTATCATAGATAGAACTTTAACATTTTCAGACTTAAGTGCTTTGCTTTTTCTTAAGGATTCTGTGATTTGGTAATAGGAAGGAATGGCCTGCAGTTTACAAAATGGTTAATTTTGTTTTCTGGAACTTAGTCCCTAAGGTGCAATGCCTAGCTTTTTATCAAGAACTATGAAGTATGAAGACGAAGGTAGGATTGCTTACTCAGCATTTGGTCCCTCTGTCCTCTTGAGTATTATTTCCTTATATGCGTTACTGACATAGGGCAATTAAGCACTATTAACTTTGTAATAAGATACTTGACCCTTTACCTTATATCCATTTGCCAAGGAAAAAGGTGAATTCTAACACTATACTGGGATTCCCTAAAACTTGAATTTTATTACAAATACAGATTTCTGCCCACCAGCTTAGGGAGGCGATTTGGCCTTAGTCCCTAGCACATCTGTAGTTTGTTGGTTCCTTATTTTCAGACTCCATCCATCCCTGCTTCTGCAAGCTGTTTTGGTTGATGGAAAGAAGTCTGGTTACTCTGGTTTGCAAGAGATTTCTTTCATTGGGTGGTTTGATTTGTTTTTTCAGTCTACTCCATCTGGACACAAACATCTGACAGTGGAAGAATTATTTGGAACCTCTTTGCCAAAAGAACAGCCAGCTGTTGTGGGTCTGGATTCAGAAGAAGTGGAGAAGCTGCCAGGAGATGCCTCCCAGAAAGAGTCCAGCTCATTCCTACCATTTTCCTTCGAGCAGTCAGGCGGAGCCCCTCAGTCGGAAAACCTGGGTGTCCATCCTGCTGCCCACCACTCAGTCCCACCTGAAGTCCCCACCCCGGTGCTGATCACTCCTGCCTCCATCACACAGTCCGGTGACAAACAGGCCCCAGGCTATGCCATCCCACTGCGCCCTGTGCTCAGTCCCACTCTACCAGCAGAAGCTCCTACGGCACAGGTTCCCCCCAGCTTACCCCGAAACACCACCATGATGCAGGCGGTGAAGACCACGCCGAGACAGAGGTCTCCACTCCTGAGCCAGCCAGTCCCTGAGCTGAGCCACGCCAATCTGACTGCCACCCAGAGCCCCTTCAGGGCCCCCCTGAGCGTGACAAACACAGCTGGTACATCCCTCCCAAGCGTGGATCTTCTCCAGAAACTCAGGTTGACCCCACAGCATGACCAAATACAGACGCAGTCGCTTGGGAAAGGGCCCGTGGCACCCAGCTTTTCCCCAGCAGCCGGCCAGCTGGCCACACCCGAGAGCTTCATAGAGCCTCCCTCTAAGACCGCAGCAGCTCGAGCCTCAGCATCCCTGAGCAACATGGTGCTTGCTCCCCTTCAGGTACTGGCAGGAGGCTGGGTGGCTCTAACTGGGTGGGGTGAAGCTTCAGAGGCCTTGATGGTGACTGCCAGGAGGCAGTCCCTTCAAAGGGACAGCTATTAGATACATCCGGGGCCAGAAGACAGGAGGTAAGAAGCCCTGTAGTGAACAGCCAGATCATAGGTACGTGGTAGTGGTACTCAGTTCCACTGCCCCTGGATACAAGCCAAGAAACAATACCAGTATTTTCCTATCAGGGCATGCATTATAGGGGTTTTTGTTTGTTTCTGCCTGACAAATCCAGGAGTCCTCATTTGACTCAGGACCATAGATCCAGATTATCCCCAGCTTTGTCCCATCCCCAGCTCCCGTGGGGCCCACCTTGGGCCAGGCACACTTGGGGTACCGTAACAGCATCCCAGATTTGGAGATACGGGTCAAGTAAAGCTTCCTGGTGAATCTCATGTTCAGCTGAGATCTGAAGACTTGGCAGAAGTTAGCCAGACCTTTCCTAGAGGTAGAGAAAAGTGTTTGAGACAAGGAAAGTAGTGTGTGCAGAGGCCTAGAGATGAGTGGCATTTGCTAAACGTAAAGACCTGTAGTGTGGCTAGATCTCCTGTGGAAGGTGCTTGGAGGCAAAGGTACTGGCCAATGAGCAGGGCTTTGAAGACTATGTGAAGGAGTCTGAGGCTTGTTCTCAGAGTCCTGGGGGCGGCGGCGGGGAGGGGGGGGCTGTCTTTCAAGGGCTTTGAGCTGAGGTGGTGAGCAGGGCAAGGAGAAAATGGAAGCAGGACCACCCACAGGAAGGAGGCCAGGCAGTTACCCATTCTTGAGCTGGTGGGGGCCTGACTTTGGGAGTATGGACAAGTGGGTTTGTTAACAAGTGCAAGCGGTGGGACCTGCTGGTCGTTTGGGGGTGAGGCATGAAGAAGAGGCTTGTCCCTCAGTGATGGATGAGGCTGGCAAGTTTACAGATGAGTCAGCTCAGATTGCAGTGATGTGTGCAAGATCACACAGCTGATCACAACAGTGTTGTTTGCCTTCCAGGATTTCAGCCGCATGCCCTTTAATAATAATCTGCAATCTTAACATTTCACCAAATAATATCATACAGAAGAGTCCATCATAATAATTGTATGTGATTTCATAATTAATGGACAGTTTTGTTGTGTTCCTTTAAAATTCTGTACAGAAAGACAGGAAACTTAGTATTTTGTTATATCATGAAGTTGTCATTTGGGGCCATTTCTGTTGAGGTTTTCTGCAGTATAAGGAGAGAGAATGTTCTAACAGATGAGTATCATACCCCAGCCAGCAGTCTGAACTTCCCCAGCGCCGCCCTCTGCTCTCCACTATGCCTCCTTGCAGGGGACACTTATGTACATGTGTGCATTTTTACTTACATTCCATTTCCTTTAGGATCTGGGGCTTCACTGAATTTTAAATGAAATATATTTGCTCTACAACAAGAAGTCCTTTGTCTCCCAACGAATAAGGACAAAATTTAGCGTGTGGAGGTGTGAGCCTAGATGAAGACAGTTTAGTGCTACCTGTCCAGAGTTCACACCACCTTATCGAGGTCTCGTGCTGCCCGGATATGGCGTCTCTACAGATTCAACAGCAGAACTGTGCGTGGGCTGTCCTTGCTCTATCCTTAGAGATGCCTTGAAGGTTCTGCACACAGCCCTGTTCTTGGGGAGACTGAGGGGGTCAGAGGCTGTCCCAGGGCCTTCGCCCTGCAGTTGAGGCAGAACTAATTAGTGTCTGAACTATTCCTTACTGCTAAAGTGGATTTACCCCGGTAGCTAGGAAATCTTCATTGAAACTTGCTAGGTCTGTTCATCTTTTCTTTTTAAACATTGCAGTCTATGCAGCAAAACCAGGATCCTGAAGTCTTTGCCCAGCCTAAGGTGTTATCCAGTGCCATCCCGGTAAGGACTCCCTTTTCCTAAAGAACACATTCTCTTCACACCGCTGGATGTGAAGTAAAACATTGTCGTTTGAGTGGAAAGTTGGAGCTTCCAAGCCCAGAGCCCTCTCAGATGCCCCTCCTAGGCCAGGCTGCCTGCTCCCCCGGCAGAGTTCGTTGCTGCAGCCCCTGTGGGCTTCCGGTCATCCTCTCTGGAACAACGCCTTCCCTGACCATACCGAGGGCTGGGTGCTCGCTCAGTGTTTGTCAGCTGAGAGCGTCAGCCTGGTTTCCGTGAGGAGGAAATACTCTTCGCCCTGCAAGAGCTGTGATGCCTGGTGAAGAATCACTGCGGTGCTCGGGCTCCCGGCCTGCACTCTGCCCCTTGCTTGTTCTCCCCGGCCTCACTTTTTTAAAAGTTGTCCCCACCCTCCATTACCTACCAGCCTTGAAATGCACACTTATTTTTTTCAGTTCCTGAGCTTTTACCTGCCCTTTTACCTTTGAGCCTTTATGCCTCTCCTCAAGTCTCAGAACTGAGCCCGCAGCCATCTCCCGCCTGGTGGTGGTAACTGGTCTCCCCTGTAGCTCAGCCTGGTGCAGCGCCAGCCCAAAAGCAGACTGGAAGGCTCAGACCCCAGAAGCCACACCCTTAACAGCGTGGCTGTTTGTAAATGAAGAGGGTGCCAGGAGAAGGAAATCGAGATGTCTGTTGATGGTATCAAATGTGGGAATTTTTAAAAATGCTGATATTTCTGGTTTCGTGTACTCTGATGGTTAACGGTTGTTAGCGTAGAAGCACAGCTAAATGGGGGAGGGAGGTAGATGTTAGTTCTGTTTGTAAGAAGTTGTGCCTTTGATACCTGTAGTGGCATAAAAAATATACTGACCACTACAGAAGAAACTAATGCTTCATGTAACTGGATTTTTTAATTCTTCTTTTCTTTAAGATTTTATTTATTTGAGAGATAGCGGGGGTAGGGTGGAAGCAGAGGGAGAAGGGGAGAGAATCTCAGGCACACTCTGTGCTGAGCGTGGAGCCTGAGGCAGGGCTCGATCTCACGACCCCAAAATCATGACCTGAGCCAAAACCAAGAGTTGGACACGTAAAAGACTGAGCCACTCAGGCACCCCTTCTCTTTTTTTTTTTACGTAAGTGAAATACATATATAAAATGCAGGTGTTTCATGAGTTTTAACATACATAACATCCCTTGGGTAACAGTCAAGATATGTAACATTTCTGTCACCCCAGAAAGTTCCCTTATGCCCTCTTCCAATCATTTCCCTGCTCTCCATATAAAACTTTACATTTTTAATTTATCATAGGATTGTTCTTATTGTGTATACCCTGCTGTGATATTTCCTTTCTGTGATGACCAGACTTGGCTTCCCAATAAATGGGCCCTTTATCCTTTAGCTGACAAGCTTCATTCATGACCATTGTTTCCCTGCAGGTCGCAGGCCCCACACTGGTTACTGCAACAACCATGGCAGTGTCTTCAGTCCTGTTGTCCCCAAGTGTTTTCCAGCAGACAGTTACAAGGTCCGCAGACCTCGAGAGGAAAGCAAGCGCCCCTTCTCCGCTGACTGTTGGAACGTCAGAAAATCAGAGAAAGCCTTCCATTATTCTCAGCAAGTCTCAGCTCCAGGATACATTAATACATCTAATAAAGGTATGCAGGCCATCCCAGCAGTTGAGTCTATAAACTTTTGTTCTTTAATTTTAAGGAATGTATGAGTTCTTAGAAAATCAGTTCATAAAGTGAATTCAAGACTAGCCGGGACTAATGTTTCTCTTTTTCTGAGCATACACTCCCAATGGAAAAGTATCCAAGTGAATTCCAAAATATTGATTGCAGTTGTCTCTGGGTGGTGGGATTCTTTGGCTAATTAGTGACACACATCACTTATACAGCTTTTTTCCTAAGCTTTTGTCAAGGAAGTAAGTTCTGCTGAGGTAAATGAAACATTACCATCTCTTCCAGAATGATTCCAGCTTCCTCAGTACACTTCACGAAGTCTACTTGCAGGTTCTGACCAAGAACAAAGACAACCACAACTTATGACTGGAGCAGAATAAATCCGAAGGCAGAATGTCGACCTCAGAAACAAATAGGCCTCATCATGGAAACTTCTAAACAGAACATTGAGTTTTGAGAATCCTGAAATTGAGCCTATGAGAAAGAGACTCATTCCTTAAGAATGTTTTCCAAGTGACGTTCTCAGTGATAATGGAGGTTTCACTGTGAAGCATCACCAGCAGACCTTTGTTTTGACAAGAAAAAAAAAAAAAAACCATTGTGTTAAGTTGTGTGGGTGTTTTCATCAGCTCTAAGAAAGGATGTGAAATAAGGAGTCTGGTTTTCAGCTTGCTTTCACCCTCAAGGTCTTAGGGAGGAGGGGTCACCAGCCTTGCAGCAGAGTTCAGTCCAGCCCGCACCCCTTCCCCTGCTCCTCCCTCCTAGAAATTTGAGCCTTAGGCTGATAGTCAAGTTCTGAACAGAGCAGAAGTCAGCTCTGCGCAAAGTAGCTTTGAGTTTTAAGGATCAGAGTTTAAGTTGGCAAATTAGGACTGATTTGTTCAAGTGAGGTATATTTTTATGAATGCCCCATTTGGGCCTTAAGAGTTCTGAAATTTCTCAGTTGTGTGTCTTGTTCTTAAGTGTTCCCAGTGCTGCCATGCAGCAGGCTCCCAGGGCAGTGATACCATGTGACTAGGGCCCCACCAGGCTCTGTGATGGTATGGGAGTAGCATCTTTGAAGCAAAGGCTGGGGCTGGTAAAGACTGAATTCCATCAGAAACCTTCACTTTAAGTTAAACTCTTGAGTGGTTTTGAAAATGTTTTGTGTGAAGTATAGCCTTACTTTCCTTTTCTGTCTAAACACAGAAGTCCTTGTTGATTGTTTTCCTTAACACTTTGACAAAAGGACCGGTGGACCAATCTAACAAAGCCATTCTGGTTCCATTCCTCGAGTCTACTGAGAGTAGTTTTAAAGCTATGCAGAAAAGGGAGCTGTTATTCACACTGCCCTTACTTTATTATAGAATATGGAGTTAAAAACAAAGTGTGAAAATCAGAACTTTACCAATGTATTCCTAGGCTGTGAGTACTTTTGCAGCCCAAAGTGTGAAAATATGTAAAGATGCTTTGTTATGCTGCTATTGACCTGCCATGATTTATATTTATTCTTTTATGGCATGTAATGGTGATTAGTAATATTTTAATGTAGATTTTGATTTATTTCAGCAATAGTAATTTTAAGATACTCTTTGAATGAAAGTGTCTTCGTTTCTATGATACAGATCATTTTGTAGTATTTAACCAATTAAGATGCACTGCTTACTTTTCTGAGCACTATTTAATGATGGGGTAAAAACCCAGTTGGCTCAACCAGCTAGCATAAGGATTAGCTGTGAATAATGCTGATGGATGTGGTGGTTCCTCGGGAACAATCATTTAAGCTTTAATGGTAACTCAATCATAAATCCATAGATTTTTTTTTTTCTAGCTGAGATTTTAGAAAATTACTTGTGAATTACATGCTTGTTTTAGTTTGGCCTTAGTTTTTTTTAGCATAAAGAATACTTTGATTGGCTTTCGTTAATCTAAACATGCTTCCTGGGCAGTTTTCTCTTGCTGTCTACATAATTGTGAATCGTTCAGAAGTCAGGGAAGCTTATAAGTTCTCATACTTGATGGGGAAGAGTTTGTTTTCAAAGGTAGTGTGTAAATCCAGCAACCAAAAATGAATTGCTCGTACATCACCCAGGAAGGAGAATGTTGAAGTAAGATCCAGAGTGATGCTTACACCAGGAGATGGTGTTGGGGGAGCCACGTGACTGTTCTCAGAAAACAGGTTTGATCGCACCCCCAGTGTGGTTTCGGTGGGCTTTGGTACGTGGAAGAATCAAGGGATTCTTGTTGTAATAGACATTTGACTTGAAATGATTTGAGTATGTGTAATATTATGAGAGAGTTAAGAGAGAATATCCTAAAGAGGGTCTGTAATCAAATCTGTTAATTTTCGCCCTTTCATCCAAGGAATGAATATGATAGACAGGAAGGAGAATCTATGATAAGTTTTCCTTAGTGGGAAAATAAACTTTGAAGTGCCCAAGTCATGGAGACTTGAAAAGGGTCAACCTGTTTCAACTCCCAAATTTATGTATTCAAGGGATTTACTTAAAATTCAGAAGCCAGAAGTTCACCATCATGATTTCCAGGAGGTTTGGGCCAGAATGAGTCCCTGAAAAGTCAGGCCAAGCCTGACTCGTCACAGCCGGATGACCCTGGCCCGAAAGTCACAGTTAAGTTGCCTTATTCCTCGGTCAGACTTCCTATTCAGAACCTCACGCTAGCTTAGGTTGCATGTGTCCATAGCTGCCATGATTTTTACTGGAACCTTTGTTTCAAATCTTAGTTGAATCAAAGTGGACACCAAGACGCAGATGGTTCTTGCCAGGTTTTGCAGTTAGACAACCGTGTGTGTCCGTGGGCCCACCCCCAGCCGCAGTGGGTGGCACTGCTCTTTTGTTGTAGTTAACGTGATGTCTTTGGATAGACTCCCACACCTCCCAGATGGCCTTGTTCCTGCAGGAACAAGGGCATTCTTCCAGGGATTTGTAAGGTGGGACTTTGAATCCTTAAGTTTTCAAGCAACTGTCAGTGTTAGAAGCAGCATTTCATACTGTGTGCATGGGAGTGTCCTCAGCTCACCGTGCAAACCTTTGGGGTGGCCATCACAGAGTGGGGTTTTGCGAAGAGCCCAAATTGATGGATCCTTCTCTGCTGAAGGCCACACAGGCCTCATTTAGAATGTGTCTGGCCCAATTTTGCATGTCAAGCATCTGTTCTTTTTCTGCCTAGCTTTCCTTGTGAAAATCGGAAACCCTATCGAATCCTGTACTAGGTAATATGTTTAAACCATGCAGCTTTCTTTCCCTCCCCACCCCTCCTCCAAGAATGCAGTTCGAAGTTTTCTCATTCGGGTAGTAGAGGCCATGACTGCCATTGTGTTAACTAACAATGCAACATGAATTTGAAGGTGGCTTAAAAAACAAAATCAGCCATTGCACAGGAACTGGGCAAAACGTAGAAACAGGAAGGAGAGGGCAGCAGGCACAAGGAGGCCCAGTCCACAGGAGTGAAGACAAGGAGTTACGGGACATGGGTCCTGCCTTCTTGCTGCATATTTGCTGCTGAGCACATGTTTCATTATTACCTATCCTGGGTTTTCTTCGGTTGTGTTCAAAGTACCTTCTGGAACCAGTAGTGCCCTGCATTTTCAGGTGTGTAAAATGTTAAGATCTAAATCAAGGAAGGCAACGTACACTGGGCTTTTTAAAAGCTGTGTTTGAGAACATTTCCCTGAGTGGGCCGGGGCCTCAAGGAATCTGTTTTCCAGCAAATTCAGCAGGAGAGAGGTGTGCAATGTTTCACTCAGTTTTCTGTTTGACATCTTCATTTGAAATGCTAAGATGCAATATCGTTCACTTTGGGGAAAATGCAAAATTGTGTTTCCCTTTTATCTGTGTGATTCCTTAAGAAACGTGTTTTTACAATAATGTGTTCTCAGTGGTTTTTTTATTCTGTGTTACTGCTTTGGCCATGCAGCTCTCATGACTTTCAGTGTACTGGATTCTCAGCTCCCTGAAGTGTGGGGCTGAGAAGCTCTGGAATTACAGCAAGATTTTTGTTCCATGAGCGCAATACTGCATCATTAACATTTTTAATGGTATGGATTTTATACCATCTGTGTATGTTTGCAAATATTAAGTTATTACATGTTTTCAAATGAGCATTTTTCATCCTAAATTTTATATGTTTGCAAATATATTTTTTTAATAAAAGTTCAAAACCAAGTTTTAGCACCTACTAAATTTTAATTGTGTTTTTTTATTTAATTTAGAGAAGCGGAACTTCTAAATGCGTAGCTACGCTTTGCCAGAACCTCACGCTTGTGAGATGGGGTGAGGTGAGAGAACAAAGCTGCTGGAGAAGGCCCTTGTCTGCCTGTTTCCAGCCTGGGCCCGGGCCACAGGCCACACGGATTCCTGGGTCTGAAGCCCCTGAGGCCTGGCGTCTGTGAATGACTGAGCACTTCCTTCCCCGGTAGCTAAACATCGAGTGTGTAACTGCTGTGAGTGGACAGCTAAAGAGCTTCATTGACTCTTCTGTGGTTTCCCCAGACAGAGGGTGCACTTCTAATCACGGCCAAAAACACTGTTCTGTAGGAGACTGCAGTTGGAGCCAGTTCCCACAGTCAATTCATGTGTATCGGGCTATCATGGGCCAGGCATCTAGGATGACAAGGAAGAAAAGAGGGAGGAAACTAAAATCTGATCATTATGGGAAATAGAGAAAAGTTTCAAGGGGAAAAAAATGGTTAATCATCTCTCTCCCTAACAACTGTTGACATGTTAGTAATCCAAACAAAATTCGACATAAGATGTTTGTTTTATCTGCCTGCTTTCTTAGGGCAGAGCTTAAGCTAACCCAGGCTTTAGTAGGACAGTCATCATTACAGCTTCATGCTCATTCAGTACTTGAAGGGTTGCCATCCCATTATTTTCTTATCTTTGCAGCAAGCCATTTTAGGGAGAAGGAAGTTGAAGCAGAGAGTGACTGAGGTCTGTGCCAAAGGTTGCTTCTTAAACCAGCGTGGGGTCACAGACCTGAAGCCAAGCAGGCCAGAGAGCTGGTCTAGAATTCCTTTCTTGATTCTGCTGTCTCCATGATGGATGGTCCTGGATTGCTTTTTTTGCAGTTTCTTAGGTTACCACTGTTTATTAAAAGCTAGCGGGGTCTGCTCACCTGCTGGTATGCGTGTGCCAGCACCTAAGAAACCAGGTAACTGGGTTTATTGGAATTTCATGGAGAATGAAAGTCAGTGGGTCCTGAATAAGAGCTGTAGCAGATGGGATTTAGGTTTCTCGGTTGTCTCTAATGACGTTTTCACTCACTGTTTATGGAACACGGTTCTGTAGATCCTGGTTCCATCTCAAAGATTGGGTCGCTAAAAACTTGAACTTTGAGAAAGGGTTGTGTGAATAAACCTGAGGCTTCCAGGAAGCAGTGTTTGTCTCAGAGAGCTCTCTGGAACCAGCCCGAGGAGGAGAAGCTAGAAATCCAGCAACCGTGCTGTCCATGCGAGGGAAGCCCACCTTTCCATGAAGCCGGGCCCTTGGAGGACGGAAGGGAAGGGCTGCGAAGGACTGGCTCACGCCCTGAAGCTCACCCTCCCTGTCGCCTTTCAGACAGTACCTCCTGGGCTGTCTATTACAGGCAATGTGAGGAGGCCTGGCAGGTTCCAAGATCCTCAACCTCTTCGAGCTTGCGAGACAGAGTTAGGCAAGAGGGCAGTTGCCAGGCTTCCTCGGCCCGGGCCTGCGATGAACCTGTGCCAGCCACACACCAGCGCCGGCCAGCCCTCCACGTCTCCCCTGGGTTCACCAGGCAACATTAGCCGACAGCTCCATATAAGGGCTCTTGTAGCCGCAGGGGTGGAA